AATCGTAGAATGTAAAATATGTGATCTTTGAATATTTGTATTCTGTAGCTGTTTATCTAGCAAATGTGCAATCAATTATATAGATACTCTTAAAGAAATTTCTTGAAAGGCTTCTTTTTTTTTTAAAAAAAAAACAATTATTAAATGGATTGATCGTTTCTTATAATTGTCTATAAATATCTTGGAATAAAGAGTAAACGATTGTATTCCTCAATGAGTTACAACAATGAACTTTAAACTCCTGGTCCTATGATCTTCTCGGCCGAATTACCAAATCTGTTCACACAGTAATGAAAGTATCGAACCTATAATGTACAGAATATATTTTATTTGTAATCCCTGTCGCATTAAGTGTCACTCATGACTACCTTCAGCATAATTTTTTACACGTGAATAACCATATTTATAATAAACATATTGTGACCGGGAATCTTCATATTGATCGGGAATTTTCTCGTATATTTCTTTTTTTTTTTAAGTTTTCACGCTTTATGCAAGCTTTAATTTTTAAGTTGTTATATGCATGAAAAAACTTTAATAAAAGCCAAAGTAAATAAGTATAGTTTATTACGTGATAGATTATAACACGCAAAAAGTAAAAGGCAAAAATGACAAGTAAAATAAAGAAAAACGTAAAGCAAAGCTCAAAAATAGTAAAGCACAATACGAATATAAATATGGAATTACGTGTAAAAATTATGGTATGACAGTCAGATAACATCTAGTGACACGCTTCTGGGGATTACCTATTTATTTCCTGGGGGGAAATTATAGCAGAGGGTTACCGATGACCATATCACGTGGATGGCCCTTCGGGCATCCCACGTGTTAGGCCAGACCAATTTAATTCGGTGGTTTACGTTACTCCCCCTTCTGACTTCCTCCCTCACTATATGTGCGGAAAATTTCGGAAACCTTTTATTATATCGCGGATCGTTTCGGAAAAAAATTATAATAAACTCCCTCCAACCCGCCCCTCCCCCCTTCTCTTTTGTGAGAAGGATGTAACGTAAACCACCGAATTAAATTGGTCTGGCCTAGAGATGGGGAAAATGCGCATTAATGCGCATGATATCGCATGATAAAAAAAAGGCAAAAACGATCGAGAGGAGAGAAATTTTGATGGGCATGAAACGGTATCATGCGCATGAATGCGCATTAATACGCATGATTCCTCAATCATGCGCACGCATGAAACCCATCTCTAGTCTGGCCTTATGATCATCGGTAACCCTCTGCTATAATTTCTACTCCCCTATGAAATAAATAATACTAATAAAAACCTGTGTTGTGACTGAAATTATGGCTTATTTTATACTAAAATTTTATGAAGAATTTTTTTTGTTAGTGCGCAGTAGGTGGTTTATAGATCGTCGATTGTTAGAAAAGATTTGATTGGCATCTGCGACGATCTTTCATGGTCCGTTTGCTGAATTTTGGTGGACTCACAACGCTAATCTATTCCTTTATCACTTTGTTATCGTTATGTACCAAATTCTTAATTTTATTTTGTTAAAAAAAAAAAAAAACCGGTGATGGGCTAGAAAAGAACAAACATTCACATATGTGATTATCGTCGAATTTCCAAATTTAGACACAATTAACATTCACGAATCCGGTGACGAAGTTGAGTGTGAAAAATCAAATCTGCACTCACGCTCTTACACAATATAACATCTATCAATTGCAAAATTTTGTGGGGCAATTCCATTGAGAATTGTCATATAACCATACACTTAGTGATATTCATCACTCGATTCTTTGTCAGTGTAGATATAATACAAAAAAAGGCGAAATTTACACCTTTTAAGTTACCTTCTCGGCGCCTAATACTATTTCAATAACGTTACCATCTCTCATCCTATCATAAATCTTTTAATGTAACTGAAAAATGACTTAAATTATGGTATTTAACCTACAGTACAGGCAATAAATAAAAATTACTACCCTTACCCCGTGCCTCCGGCACGGGCTAACAGCTAGTTACGTAAAATTGCAATTAATTGACCAATTATGGCTGCGTCATCAATCAATTAATTGAGTTCTCCCACAATCAATTATTCGGTAGGCCTGGTATATACTCAGGTCACAAGTCGATCGCTAATAAAGTAGCGTAGAGGAAGTCTTTTGTTGACAACTTCAGTTACATGCATATACATAAACATGTGAAAATTGCTAGTTCTCTATAATTTGATTATGTCTATAATTGTACACATCCATTTTCCGGATATTTTAATCCAAAACCTTCAATATTGCATGACTAAGCCGTTACTCTTGCGTTCCAGAACCAGCCTTGACTTTTTTAACGTGTGGTATGCATTAACCCCATAATTTCTTCAGAATGTATAGATTTTTATATTTAATTAAGAACACTCGTATTATTATTTTCGATTATACCTATATATATACAGTACATAAATATTACGTAATCATAATAAATGATCGATAACACGTAGTTGTAATCAAAGATTTATAAACTACGTAAATTTCTATTGCAATCTCTAAATCAAATTTCTAAATCATGAATACCCAAGACAGCTTACCAAGTTTAACTGTGAACGATTTTTTTAAGCTCTCATTTGGGCTAACTCCAATTGAATTAGACCCAACTAAGTTTGTCACAAACGAACTTACCATTGAAATGTTCGCTTCACTTATCGAGCCATCTTTAAGAGAACAAAATCCAGCCGGAATTTTTCGTAATTTATTTCCATATCTTGTGGATACTATCAGTAGAACAGTTCCAATCAGCAGATTAGTTAATTACATCCAGGAACTTAATGAAAATAATGAGGACAGTGATATATATCAAATTCTTCAACGTTTCGAAGAATGCACTGGTAGAGATTTCCTTATAGCATTTCTTGATAAGGTTCCCAAAAATTCTTTTTCAAAAATTCTCCATACAATTGTTGCTGCCAATATTCCCATTCCACTTTATCTTTCGAATGATACACATTCGCAAAAAGGCCTCAAAACTCTTAATGGAGTGCGTGACATTATTGCCTCTCGCAAATATCACCTTTTTATTTCTGTAAACCAAGCAAATACTGATTTAGAACTGCCTTTCTCGAAACAACTTTATAAAAATTACGCAAACAATCGTGAAGACCTTTCGGGCATTTGTAATCCAAATTCTATTGATATTTCTTTCCATTCTGCATCAGAAAATCATTCTCGCCCACCCTTAGCTATCTCGGAAGTTTACTATGGCGAATCAGGTTCTTCTACTCTTCGTGAGACAGTAAAGATATTATCAAAATTTGCATTTTATATCATAATCCATGTCTCTAATAATGACTTTGATGGAAATGAACTCAATGACCGATTTATTTCTACCATCAATGACATCTCCATCGAATGTTCTGGTGGTCATATACGAAAAATTTTGACTTTATTTTGGGGAGTCACGCCTCAGTTTTTTAAAAATCATAAAGAAAAGATTGAAAAGCTATCATGTAAAACATTTACTAACGATGAATTCGGGATCGAGCTTGTTGTCAATAATAAGAAAAATGCATTATTTGAAAGAATTAAAAAGGATTCATTCTACAAGCTTAAAGATACCAAAAATTTACGGTTAGATTGGACCTCTATGAATTTTTCTAAGATCCTAAGTGAAAATACTGAAGATTTTTTATTGGAAAATGACTTTGCATTATCAATGGCAAAACTTGAAACATTTAATTGTCGTGCTGATATATTCTATGCTTCTTATTGTGAAAATGAAATTGAGACATTACGAGATAAAACTGATCTCAAAACCAAAACTTCAGCGGGCTATCAAACTGAAGCCGAAATTTATCGATTAATTCAGAAATTTCAGGATGAAAAAAAAAATTTCGGAGAAACTAGACCAATTCCAGTTCTTACATATTTTGCAAATGTCATTACGAAGAATGATATTAAATATATGCGTGAATTTGCACGTCAAGCTGACGTTTACTTTAAGGATTATCTTATTTCTTTAGCCCAAAAAGATAATGAAATAAAAAATAATTCAGCTGAGAGTGATCAAACAAATAGACAACGAAAAGAAATAAAGCAAAAAATTGAAGATTTAGATATAACAGTTCATGACTTTTGGAGAGAATTTGTTATTTTATCACATATAATGAGAAGTGACGGCTCATTAGTCTTAAAAAAATTATATGATATTGACGATAAGTAAGTATTTATCGTTGATTTTTTTTTTAAAAAATTGATACTAAGTTTGAATATTGTAGCTAATCAAAAAAATTTATCATTTAGGCAACTCGAAAAAGCATATAATATTTGGATACGTGAAGGCGAAGCAATTCAGATACTAGAGGGTGTATCGCTTAGAACATTAAATTCCGATTTTCTTTCGTCTGTATTGAGCCAAATAATGTCAAACTCTAAACGGCAGTTGGTAGTTCTCTCAGTCATTGGACTTGAAAGTTCCGGAAAATCTACATTGTTAAATTATTTGTTTCAATGTGGATTTTCAACCTCTGCTGGACGGTGGTAAGAATTAAATATATGTTTATTGATATTACAGTATATGAGTCGCTTATCATTTAAATTATTTTCATTTAGTACGAAGGGTAAGTTGTATCAAAATTTGGGTTCAAATCATTTTAGAGTTCATATAAGTAAAAATATATTATGTGATAGGTGCATATATGTCATATCGGCATACCTTTTATAAGGAAAAAGAGTTGGACGTTTTAATCATAGATTCTGAAGGGATGGGATCCACGGCGGCAAAGTATATATCGAGACGTACAGATTTCGATAAGAAAATGACGCTTCTTGGTTTCATGTGCTCTCAGATTCTAATCGTTAATACTAAAGGGCTTACACGAGATATTTCAGATATTTTGGAGGTTTCTTCATATCACTTAGATGCGCTGAGTAACAGAGATTCTAAACCAAGAATCAGCTTTGTTTTACGAGATATGATAGATGCTAAAAGAGCCCAAGCTCCAGCATTTATTGACATTTGTGAGAGTTTAAAAAGGATGTTTGATGAAATTCCGGGTTGTTCTTATGATATGGATGAGTTCATGATTGTAGAAGAACGTGATGTTCACTTATTAGAGAATGCATTTACTTGTTCTTTTGACGATTTTTACCCACAATCCATGAACACTGATTGCGAAAATTTTCGCCGTAAGTTTTTGTATACACAATGAATGTTATTTTTTGCCATTTAATATTGAAATCTCTAAATATATAGGAAACTTTTCCTTTAAAAATATCAAAACTTCGCAAAGAACTACTCGATTCTGCACTGATCCCAAGTAAAAATCATGAATCTCAGATATTTAAAAATGTCCATGGTAAGAATTATTCAATATGCATTTAAGTATTTTCTATATATAATACAATGATTTGAATGTTGTGTCTCCTGAAGGATTTATCTCACACATGCAGACAGTTTGGAAAGAAATCGATGCTCGTGGTAATTTTCTTCATTTTAAAAATTCAAAGACGATACAACAGTGGAGGGCAATGAAAAAAATAGTTCACAGTTACAATGAAACTACAGTAAAGTCTTATAAAGAAAAAGGATTAAATTTGATAGAAAGACGAAGATGTGAAGAGCAATGGAATGAAGCCAATGATAAAGCTTTCGAAGATGAACTTATTCAAGAAACAGAAACGTGGTGTACTAATACGATTGCTGATTTTAAAGAAAAGATCTCTAACCAATATGAACCACAAATAATTGATGAGGGTGAAACATATATAAAAGCAGCATTTGCTGCTGAAAAACGAGAACTTAAAGCAATATATGCAAAAAGGCAACGGCAGTCTAAAGAATCTTGGCTAATAACATCAGCAGAAACGCGAATTGGTGAGACAGTTGGGAGAATTCTTAGAGAAAATAAAGATAAAACCCCTGAAGAATTTAAACGCATTTTTTCCAAGTCAAAATGTGAAAAGTTATTTAACGACGAATGGAAAAAGGTAGAAAATGATAAAGAAGGTTTTATGCGAATAATGATAATGGAAGCAAAAAAGCTAGAAGAACATGTAGTCAATTATTTTAATAATGCTGTAGTAAGTGGACGTGCAATAAGTAATGACGAGAGTAATTTAAAAGAAAGATCAAAGTTTGACAGGATATTTTGGAATAAAATTAAGACACCTGAAACTTTAAACACTGTATCTTTAGATGATGAGCAGTTTCCTGAAAGTATTAAATTATCAAGAACTAATAAAATTAATATTCATCATTTAGGAACTTATGTTGGTATAAACGATGGCAACAAAAGTTCTTTTAAAGATGAAGTTATAAAGCAGATTAAGAGTGAAATTGAAAACACTTGCAAACAAATATGCGATGATCTTTTGTTCCGGAATGCATTTGCAATTGAATTTGGCCAAGCATTGGAGTGGCTTAAAAAATTGTGTAATAACATTTTTATCGCACAAGCTAATCTCAACCTATTCCAAGGGTGTTTCAAAGTTGAAATCGAAGATTTTAGTTTAATGGAGGTAAATATTTAGATTCGTAACCCAAATTTGATATTTATACACCCATACAAATTTAATTTTTTTTTTAAACTTTGAGCGAAGATATCTCGACATCCACTAAACTAAATTTAATATATATATTTTTTTTTTGAATTCTACAAATCATTAGAATTCAAATAAAAAAAGTTTATCGATTTGACCTGGTGGTTGTCGAGATAGCTCAAATTCTTAAAAAACTCAAAACGTCTATCAAAACAAGCTGCTTTTTTTTATTCTTTGAGCGAGATATCTCGACAATCACCAAGCCAAATTTGAACTTTTTTTTTATTTGAATTTTATGAATCCGTAAGATTCAAATAAAAAAAGTACATCGAATTTGGCCTGGTGATTGTCGAGATATCTTCGTTCTAAGTTTTCAAACGCCTATCAAGTAGAACTGTGCCAAAATTTTTTCCAATCTTTGAACGAAGATATCTTAACAACCACTAGGTTAAATTCGATAAACTTTTTTATTCAAACCCTACAGATTTGTAGGATTCAAATAAGAAAAGTGCATCAAATTTGGCTTGGTGGTTGCCGAGATATCTTCGCTCAAAGATTTTTGCACAGCTTCTGTTTTGATAGACATTTTGAGTTGTTTTAAGAATTGAGCGAAGATATCTCGACAACCATCTAGCCAAATTCGATAAACTTTTTTTTATTTAATTCTACTGATTTGTAGAATTCAAATAAAAAAAAGTTTATCGGATTTGATTCTGTGGTTGTTAAGATATTTCGCTCAAAGGTCAAGAACACTTTAATTTGTATGGAAGTATGAATATCAAATTTGGGGTAAAATATCAATTCCAATATTTATGTAATAAATAATAATGCTATAATTTATTTATTTTATGCATTAATGATATATATATATTTTAGCAATATTTGCGTCTTAAAGTTTTTGCTACATTAAAGAATAATACTGCAAAATGGAAAGACACCCAACAAAGAAATCTTGAAAATCTTCGCGAAAGTTTACGGAAGCATTTTCATGAAATTCTAAGTAATTCTTCTTACGAAAATATTTCGACTCATTTTTTCAAATGCGTTGATAAATCAGTTAAACAACTAATTATCCAAGAACGAAATATTTTTGAATTATTTGAAACGCATTTAAAGAAGCATTGATGAGCGAACAAAGAAATCCTACACGCGTTGCCTATGAGCGGAGTTTTGGTGCCTATGATGTTGAAAAAACTCGTAAATATATTCATGATCCAACATCATTTATGAGAGAATTATTTGAGCCTGAGGTTGATGTTATTAAAACTAGAGAAGTAGATGGCAAATTAAAAGATATCAAGAAAAACATTTATTGTGCTTTAGAAAAACTCAGTGAAAATATATCAGTTTTACAACACCATTTTTCAACAGAATCATCAGATAGATCTTTTACTCTTGAAGAAATTTTTCAGAAAACAAATGTGACCCTTGATGCTAAAAATGAAAACATTAGTTCTCAAGAAATAAGCTCAAAAAGTTTAATAGAGGATGCAATACGCGTTCTTGGAAAATGCATAATTGATTCTCCTCGTGATTTTTGTGCTATTTTAAAAAAAGAATATAGTGAATTTTTACTAAATTTTAAGAGATTATGGATAAATGAATGTGCAAATCATAGAAAACTAATGATAAATAAAGTAGAATATTCTAAGGAATCTTATTGGAATAAGGTTGTAGGATGTAGATATAGATGTCCCTATTGTGGGTAAGTAATTGATTGTAAAAATTTATTATATAAGTAATTAATATCCATAAAATTTTGTAGCTCAAAATGCGAATTAGAAGAACATGAAATAAATACAAATCACAAATCATCAATTCATTTGATGGCTTGCTTTAATGGTGTTGGATATTATAAAACACGAGAAGCATTTTTGACAATATGTAATGAGCCTGAGAATTTTAATATATATTATGTTCAAGGTGATAACAAGGACGATCGTCTTATATGGGAAGAAAATATGAAAAAGAATCATCCAGAATGGTGGCCACTTCTAGGACGAAAAGAGCCTGGTGATGATCAAATAAGGCAAGTCAGAACTATGTGGGTACATTTAAAGGCTGAATTATGCAGCAAATATAATTTAGTAGACAAAACACCTGCAAATTGGCATAGAGATTATGCCCATCTTGCTAAAAATTGTTAGATATATATAAAGTTTGTTGAACATGTTATTTGGTCAATTTTTAATCCTGGCGATATTGATAAGAGAAGGAATAAAACTACTATTACAATAATTGTTAAATAAGGACATTGTCGCACAAACCAGGAATGGAAGTTCATATTTGAGTAATATTTAAAAATTTTTTTATAAAATAAACTTCTATTATAAATAATCTTATAGTAATATATTATATAAAAATATTTGTATTATCTAGATAGTGATCATATTTTGAATGATCCAATATATGTCTTTCATTTTCTTGGTTATTCATATAGTAGTCAACCATTTTTTCAAAGATTTGAAATGTAAGAAACAGAAAAACTAATAAAATATTTGAAACCATGTATGGAATATTAAAAAAATAATTTTTTTAACTTCGAAATACTTTACTAAACTTGCATTAGATTCAATATACGTTACATTTTAATCGGTATAAACTTTAAAGTTATGTGTGTACTATGTTAAATTTTAATCGACAGCCATTTGAAAGTGACATTTAACAAGTCATTTAAGATTCCAAATTTTTATAATTTTATGGAATTATGAATTCATTTATAATATATATTTTTAAATTCGAAGCTCTATAACTTAAACACGTAATCATAGAATGTAATTAATTCCATTTTTTATTAAGAGTTGACTAGACCGAATTTCAGAAATGATAGGCTTATTATAAGCAATGCAATCTACACATGATATAGTGATATCGATGTACATTTGGGGGGTGCCAGTAGAAACCAAGAAATTTGTTTTTAGTGAGTTTTTTTAAAATTTTAAATTAAAATATCTCAACAACTATTAAACCAAACTTGATAAAAAT